AGCCCGGGCTGGAGTAGCGGGGGCTGTGTGTCGGGATTGAGGGGCATAGCAGGGCTGTGGGTGGGGCAAGCCAGGGCTGGAGTAGTGGGGGCTGTGTGTCGGGATTGAGGGGCATAGCAGAGCTGTGGGTGGGGCAAGCCAAGGCTGGAGTAGGGGGGTTTGTGTGTCGGGATTGAGGGGCATAGCAGAGCTGTGGGTGGGGCAAGCCAGGGCTGGAGTAGTGGGGCGTGTGTGTCGGGATTGAGGGGCATAGCAGAGCTGTGGGTGGGGCGAAGCCAGGGCTGGAGTAGTGAGGGCTGTGTGTCGGGATTGAGGGGCAGTGAGCTGGAGGGAGGGGAAGGCTAGGACAGAATGAACAGGGTGCTGTAGGTCAGGATAGAAGTGCACTGACTGAGTTCTGGGGTGGGAGGTGGGGGGTGGAGGAGATGCTGCAGAACAGGACTGATCCCGGGCTGGGGGACCTGATCCCCACAGTCACTATAGCAGAGTAAATGATGCAAATAAAGAGCACCAAGTTTGGGTTTCTCTCTGGAATGAATATGGCTGCACATGGCTGGCCTGGTTGTACGTTCCCCCCCCCCCCCCGTCCCAAACCCCGCCATGGCTGTGGGGCCCTCATGCAGCCAGGTACAAATGCAGGGGAGCTGTGGGGGGGGCAGGGCCTGGGAGCTCGTCCCTGCTGCTGTCCTGTCAGTCTCCGTTCCATGCCTTCCTCTTGCATCCCCTCCAGGGCCCTTGTAGGCGCTTGGGCCACGGACACATCGTGGGTTCGTTCGCTCCCCGCCGAAATGCCGCCCCTCCTCTCTGTGCATTAAAGGGGCTCAGGTCAGGCTGTGGCTGGGCAGTGATCAGCCAGGCCCTGGGGCGGGACTGCGCCCCGCTTAGTGCCCTCCCCCTCTCTGCACCCAGGAGTTCAGCCACCCCGTGGAGAGCCTGGCCCTCACTGTGGAGGAGATGATGGACGTGCGCAGGGTGCTGGTAAAGGCCGAGATGGAGAAATTCCTCCCGAGCAAGGAACTCTACAACAGCCTGAAGAAGGGGAAGGTGAGGGCTGGGGATGGGATGGCACCATGGCCTCCCTGGGAGCGACTGCCTGGGATCTAGGGCGTGAGCGTGTGTGGAAAGGGCCAGCAGACAGCCCCTGGGGTGTAGGGATGCTACCAAATACAGACCATGACCTTTCACCTTGGCCCTTCTCCACCTACAGATATGCTGCTGCTGCAGAACAAAGTTCCCTTTGTTTTCTTGGCCCCAAGCCTGTGTCTTCTGCAAGAGGTGAGCGAAGGTCCCCTGCTTTGGGGGGCGGGTGCACGGGGGGCAGGGGAATGAGGTTCTTTACTGACCCTTATGATTCTCTCTCTGCTTTTAGATCCGTCTGCACCTCCTGCAGCCTGAAGGTAAGAGACGCTTCGTGAATCAGTCCCAAGAGAACCATCCGCATTGTGCCCATTGTCTGGGGCCTCCTGCCACTTTACTCTGTGGGCACCTGCACCTTGTCTCATTTTTGGACACTGTCGTCCCCCCCCCCAAAGTAGCAGGTCCAGCAGTGATCTCAGAGTGCAGCGTGCCAGTGGGATGGTGATGGGGCGGAAGCTCCGCAGTGGGCATGTGAAGGTACCCGCTGTGCCAAGGCGGAGCAGTGCTGAACTGGCTGTGGGCTGGCAGCAGAAGGGCAGGCACTGTAGCATTTTGGGGCCCCTGCTTAGCTAACTCCTGGTCACCATGGTCCCCGCACCATGTAGGACACTGGCCATAGCACAGTGGGAAGGGTCAGGGGGCTGATTCTTTGTGGCCCCCATATTTAACCAGGGGTGCTGGACCTCCGGGTGCTGGGGAGAGGCTGCTGCCCCCCCTGGCTTGAAGTGGTTTCCATTATCCACAGGGTTTTGTTTTGTTCACTGGCTCTCAGCACCCCTGTACAAACTGTTACAACGCCCCTGCATTTAACTGACTTGTAACCTTCGAGCCACCGCTCCCCACCTCTGCTGCAGGAAGTGGCCTGGTCAGAAATGACGCGGAGACGGGGGGACCCTCAGTGCGGGGAGCTGGGGCCTGTGGGAAAGCATTTGCTTGGAGTGATGCTGTGGTTGTGTGAGCTCAGTGCCGAGAGCTGTGCTAAGCACGTTACGGTCCCTCCTTGGTCACAAGCTGGCACAGAACGTGGCCCAATCCCTGCGTAAGTCACGCAGCTTAGGTGAGCCGTGATCTCAGCCAGGAGACCCTCTGGGTGGGAACACAGGACTTCGGCTTCAAGCTGGCTCGCTTTTGTGGCTACCTCTGGCCTGGGGAACTTGCCCCTTTTCCCCGTGTCAGGCACAGGACAGGACATACGTGTTGGTGCAGCTGTGCTGGATGGCCGGTGGCCGTGGCAGCAGCTCAGAAAGTGCCCAGGTGCCCACCTGACACTGACCTCTGCTGCTTCTCCTGCAGATTAAGATGCCTTCGAAGAAGCTTGCTCACATTCCCGTCTACGCCCTGGGCTTCGAGAACCTCCCCGGATCTCTGAATGCCAAAGCTCTGCTGCTGAGGAGGAGAGACGCCTTCCAGTAAGTTCCCCCCAGTGCTTCCTGCTGCCCCACCCCGGCTCTGCAGCAAGGCCCTCTTCCAGTCCAGTGGGTGCGTGGCCTCTCCAGTACAGCCTTCCCGCTGCTGGCACCTGGTCCCGGGATCTGGAGCCACTGGACAAGGGGCCAGATATCAGGAGGGACAGAGGCAGGGTGACCTAGAAGCCTGAGGCTGCGTTGGCTGAAGCCATAGGGGATGTGAGGAATGCAGGATCAGGACCTGGGTGATGTAAGTGTCTGTGCTAGCAGCGCCCAGTGCTAAAGCCGTGGTGCAGCCCCCGCTGGCGGCAGGGTGGGGTGGGGGACGGGACGGACTGGGACGAAGTGAACCGATAGTCTTTCCCCTATGTAGCTGGGCTGATGGGCACCGCAGGCCGTAGAGAGCCAGGCATCCCTCTCCAGATCCCACAGACATCTGAAAATGGCCCTTTGGTAGAGGTGGGGTGTATTGGGCTGGCCCTTCTCTTTGTTTCCTGGCGGTTCCTGTGCAGAGCGTTGGGTTGGTTGCAGAGCTCCGTACACCCCGGGCAGGGCACGAGACAAACCAGAGTGGGGAGCACCATCGTCATGTCTCCTCCCAACACAGCCACGCCCTGTGCTGGTGTCCCCTACCATCTCCCTGACCCCTCCTTGGCCAGGCTTCCTCTCTGACTTCGACACCTGGCTCCCCTTCTGCCTTCCCTCACAGTCCCTGTGCCCTCCTTGGCAACTTCGCCCCCACCAGTAAATCCCTGAGCACCCCCGACTCTCACCTCCAAGTGTGACCTTCCGCACTCGCCAGGTGCTGTTCCCTCTCATCTCTCAAGAGCTGAGCTCCCTCCTCACCCCCTGCAGTGTCACTCACTGCGTCTCTAACCCACCCTTCCATGATCTCCAATCTGTCAAGGCCCACCACTGTTCAGGCTCCTCCCCCATAATGCAGACATGCTCTGGTCTCCTCCCTTGTCAAACCCACCCACCTCCCCATCCCCTCCAGGCTCAGTGATCCTGCTGGCTACAGCCATTGCCTTGAATCTCTCCTCTAGCTCCTTTCTGGACCCTCTAGTCCAGCTGCAGCTTCTCCACTCCACCAAACCCACTCCCACCAACATCTCCAGCCACCAATGCCTGGCTAAGTCCAAGGGCTGTATTCCACCGCACACTTCCTCGACCTCGAGGATGCTCTATGCTCCTGTGTGCCGTGATGTGCTCCCTGAATTTTCATGGCTCCGGGCCCTCCTGGTTTTCATCCTACCTCTCTGGCTGTTCCTGTGCGGTCTGATTTGATGGATCCATCTCCAACTTCACTTGCATGTTACTCCTGGGAGAATTCTGCGCCACTGTGCATGCGCAGAATTTATGTCCCCCGCAAATTTCTATGCTTCCCTGCAGAAAAATGACTTTGTGATGGGGAAGCAAAGGGAAACCACAAGAGCAGTCATGTGACCCTCCCCAGCAATATGTTTTGGGTGCCCAGGGCAGCCAGCAGAGAGGTAATTCACAGTGGGGTAGGAAGCGGGACTGGGGAAGACCCTGCTCCCTACCCTGCACTCTCAACCCACACCTGGATCCCCCCACACTGAACCTCCCCACTCTTGGATCCTGCCTTGCTGAGCTGCCTGTCCACACCTGGTGCACCTGGCACAGAGGGGCAGGGCCCTGGGGGTTTCTGAGGCAGACCCGGTCCTTGCGCTGTGTCAGGGTTGGGTGCAGCCTCACCGCTGTGTCCCTATGGGGGAGCTGCACAGTGATTTCCCACCTCTGTGCAGCCAATGGCCTGTGCGCTCCACTGCCATGCTGGAGCCTCCACATTTATTTGACAAATCAAATTTGCAGAATTTTGCAGAATTTTAAAATATTGTGCGCAGAATTTTTAATTTTTTGGTGCAGAATTCGTAATTTGTTGGCGCAGAATTCGTAATTTGTTGGTACAGAATGCCCTCAGGAGTAGCATGTGCCCCACCGAGTTCTGTCCTTCCCTCCCGCCCCTTTCTCTCTCTGTGACTGATCTCTGGCAAGGCTACGAGGGGGCGTCGTCCCCAGCACTGGAGAATGCAAATCATAGGCTTGACAGTTCCCTGGGCTGGGGGGGCTCTGAGTCCTTGCACAGAGCAGGGAGGTATTTCCAAGTGGATGGCTGCTTCTCATGGTTGTGTCTTGCAGCTCCCTGCACTGGCGGAAGGTGGAAGCGGAGTTCCCCCACATCTACGCCCACGGCTCCATCTTGAAGGACATCTGCTGTGACTGCACCAGCTTCGTGACCGATGTCATCAGCTCGAGCCGGAAGAGCATGGACATCCTGAACGCCACGCCGCGCAAGGGCAGGAAGACGCAATCCCTCTACATCCAGCCCACCCGCATTGCCAAACCCCAGTGAAGGATTCCTCTGCTGCCGCTCCGGGCCTGGCCCTGGCCCTGGCAGCTTCACAGGCACCAGGAGCCAGGCTCACAAGCAACTCCGCAGTGTTAGCACCTTGGCAGAAATTGGCTCTCCAATGAGCACACCTCCCAGCGAGCTGGGACTCTCTGGGCATCACCTCCCACCCCCACCGACATCCGTGCGCAAGAACCAAACCAAGATGGCTTCCAGATGACCCTGCTGCCTAAAAATTGCCAGCCATCCTTCCCTGGCATGCTGCAAACACCGCTGCTTGCCCCCAGCCTGACCGCTCGTGCCGCTCTTAGACCTCCATTGCGATGCCCTGCTAGTGGAGGTGTGCGTATGTACATAGATGATATATATACAGCTCTATATTTATAGACATTAGTGACCAGCGAGATGGCACCTCAGCCAGCGGGACTAGTGTCGGAAGCCACGTGTTGCACAGCCGGGACCCCGCTAGCTCGGTGTCTCCCCATGGGAGGGCAGAAGGACCCAATCCCTTGCTCTGGCTGAGGATGGGCAGGACCCAGGATGTGACTCGGAGCCCAGCTTCTCTCAGATCTGTCGGAGCGCGACCCGGCGTGTTTCCTTCCTTCCCACCTGGGCAGCTGGTCCTGCCCGGTTCCTCGGGGTCCCGGAGCAGGCTGGGGCGATCTGTCTGGAAGGTGGGGACCCTAAATGTGTTGGGGGAGGAACTGTTCAGACCCTTCTGTTTACATTGCTTCTGACTCGCCTGGAAGGAACGGAGTCCTAGCTCCTGGGCCTGTGTGTGCTGCTGGCTAGCACAAGGCAACGTGCTGGTTCTGCCATGTGGCCAAACCCCTGCCATTGGGATCAGGGACGCAGGCTGTAGACCCCCTCCTCTGCCCGCCCAGCCTGGCACCGTTCCTCTCCAGCTCATCCCTCGGTGTCAACGGCTGCCGGGGCTGGGAGGCCCCCGGGGCTCAGTTCCCACCGAAAGCACCTGGCGGAGCTGGGCTGGCTAGAAGCCCTGGCTGGGTCTTAGGCCCTATGTTTGAATCCAGGGCATAGTGCTTGTGACGGCCCGAGCGCCTGTCCTGGGAGCCAGTGGGGGTGTTGAGCCTTGTCCCGAGGAGCAGACTGGGGCCCCCTGCTCCCCATGGGGAGACCCCCTGTGCATTACTGAGAGCAAAGGCTTTTCATGGGTCCTTTCTAGCTCAGTCATTGAGCCAGGATCATGGGGATCTCCGGTGACTGCCTGCCCCCACTGCTCCCTTCCCTTCGCTGCTCTGGCTGCCTGGTGCTGTCAGTGCCCCTGTCCCTGGCGGTGGAGCAGGCGCTGGCCGGATTTAGTCAGACGCTGGTTTTGTACCGGACACTCGGCTGGGAGTACGTGTTTGTCTTTGTGCTGCAAGGCTGCGTGTGGCATCGGGGCTCGCTCCGGGCAGGGCTGGGCTGGTGGCCGGCTGCGCCGTGTCTGAGTGTACATGTGCGGCAGTGGGGGAGAGCAGCCGCAGGCAGCCAGGGCCAGGCTGGCCACATGGTCATGCAGAGCATGCGAGGCTGCTGCTTGGTTAGAATGAAGCCGGCCATGCTCCTGTGGCCTGTGAAGCATCCCCTGCCCCCAGCAGCGCTCTGCAATTAATAGTAATAATACGGAGGAGGGCTTTGCACTAAGGGGGCTGCCCAGCCCCAGGGAGCCAGGCCATCGCTATCCCCAAGCACAGGTGGGAAGACAGAAGCACAGAGAAGGGAGGAGTCTTGCCCAGGCCACCCAGAGCACAGTCCAGTCCCATCGAATGTATTTGTCTAGAGCATGCTTTGTGCGAAGTAGCCCGGCCTATGGAGGCTGAGTGACACCATGCCCTCCTCCCTGCCCAGGGCCAAGAGAGGCCTGGGGAATTGGGCCAAACAAAATCATGCTCCTGCATCAGGTTTCCTCAGTGGGCGGGTGTCTCCCCACAGACTGTGCCTGCCCACATGCTGCGGTCCAGGTAAAGCACCCAAGCCGTGTGAACTAAAGGGACTATTCCACAATGTGCCACCACCTGGGTGTGTTGTGTCTTGTGACACAGGGAAATACAAACTACACATGCCTACTAGGCCCAAACAAGTCCCGGGGCAGGACCTGCTTTTTAGTGGCTCAGAAACCACGGGCCCATGCCATGGAGTGCCTACTTTGCACTTTCACACAGGCTGACTACATGGGCAGATTGGGTTTTGTGCCTGCAGCTGGCCAGACAGACACCCAGGCCTTGTCTACACTAGAAATGGTTTGCTGGTTACACTGGCAAACCCTTCTAGTGGGGATGCAGCTTAAACGCGTGCTTTGGTGGGATAGTTCATACCAGTTCCCCAAACAAAATAGCTGTGCTGGTATGACTGTCTACACTGGGGCGTTAGCCAGCCTAGCGAGGTCAGGTGGGAGAGGGACTTTTCACACTCCTAGCCAACACAGCTGCCGCAAAACTTTGCACTGTAGATCAGGCCTCAGCCTGGCAACTGGCTCGTGCTCATAAATCAAGTCAGTAATTGCTAGTGGATCTCTGCACACAGCACGAAGGGACTGAGCTCTGGCAAACCAGGCCTGGATGGGACCTGGCAGCATTTGGGGGAAGGGGCATCCTCCCTGGGAAACTGCACAATGTGTGATAGGGGAAGCCAGGGGGACGCCCCTGCAGACTCCACAACCTAGCAGCCCCTCTCCACGCTGAAGAGACCATCCTGGCAGAAACCCCTGGTGCTCTGCTGCCCATGGGTGCTGGTTTCTGAGGTTAGCCTGCCTTGGCGCCACCCCGCTCGCTTCTCCCTGTTTTGACTGGACCACATTTTGCTGACACATAAGAATGACAATGCCTTATCATCCTGCCCACTGTCTGCAATAACTCATCCTCCTGCCCCTGTCAGCGTTGACAGGCGCGTGTGAATGAGGGTGACTCCGCCCAGGTGTCCTGTCCATGGCTGACCCATCGGCCAATGTTTTGTACAAAGCCCATCCTGTACAGATGAAATGTACATTGTAAATAACGTGCACCTGGACTGGCATGGTTGCTCTTGTACATATGGTTGCTCCCATACTAATAAATCCCTATTTTGAGCTGCAGTGGGTGTTTCGTAATGCTTTGTCAGCATGTACTGAGTTCTGGGCTGGGGAAGTGGGGAAGCTGGCGGGGTAGCTATGGGTGGAGGGAGGCCGACCCAGACAGCGCTGTAGCTTACTCCTGGGGGAATTTTGCGCCTCTGCGTGTGTAGAATTAATGTCCCCCGCAGATTTCTTTGCTTTCCTGCAGAAAAATGACTTTCTAACAGGGAAACAAAGGGAAGCTGCAAGAGCAGTCATGCACCAGTCCCTAGCTGAGCAGATACATCGCTTCAGACACCCAGAGCAGCCAGCGGAGTGATAAATCACCATGGGGCTAGGGACACCCCAGCCAGTGGCTCCTACCCTGAGCCGGGATCAGCTGCTAGTCCCGGCTGGGCTGGAGGCAGGAGAGGACGGGACTTCCTCTTCCCCTGCAAGCAGTGTCTGGAGTTATCAGACTCACCCCCCAGAAACCTCCCCCAGCTGCAGGAAGCTCAGCATCCTCCCCTGCTTCCTTCCCCCATCGCTCCTCAGCTGCAGGGGGAGGGGTCACTGTATGGGGAGCTGCTCCCCCATCCCCTCAACTCCCGTGCATCCGGACCTCCCCTACCCAGACACCGCTGACAAGCCTCACCAGGTACATTCAGAACCTCCAGACCCAAACCCCACTCCACTGAACCTCAACCCCTGCATCTGGAGCCCTCCTGCACCCAGACCCCCTGCCTCCAGACCCCCACCCTGATGCCCCACCCCCCGCACCACCCTGAGCCCCCCACACCCAGACCCTTCTGCTGAGCCCCAACCACCTTCACCTGGAAGCCCCTGCAGAGTCCAACTGCTCCTGCACCTGGAACCCCCGACCCTAACAAGCCTCTGCGCATCCAGATCCCCCCACACCTAGACACACACCCCCACTTAGCTGCCTGCACCCAGATTGTCCCACACAAAATTCTCTCACCACACACCTGGATCCCCCCACACTGAGCCCCTTCACACTTGGATGCTGCCTATCCCAGAGTGTTTCTGGGGCAAGCCCAGGCCTTGTGCGGTGTCAGGGTCGGGTGCAGCCTCACCGCTGAGTCTGTGTCCTGGGTGTGGGGGGCTGCAGGGTGATCTTCCACCTTCCACAAGTCACTGGCCTGTGCTCCCCACTGCCATGCTGGATCCTCCGCATTTATTTATTGACAAATAAAACTTGCAGAATTTTAAAATATTGTGCGCAGAATGTGAAATGTTTTGGTGCAGAACGTCCCCAGGAGTAGCAGCTGCACCAAGCCACAGAGAGCTACTGAAATGGGGCGGGGGGCAAGAGGAGGCGTCCAGGGCAGCAGGCTTGCTGGGCCAGCCCACGCTCGGCTTGTATTGACAAGAGGAAGGCGAGCGCTTTCCCCAGGAACTTTTTCAGCACCTCGTCCCTAAATTCGTATTCATGTTTCCTACGTATTCAGGTGTTTGTGTTGGAGTGCCAGCCAGAGGCTGCAGTCAGGGCTGGGGCCCCATTGTGCTGGCTCTACACACACACGTCCAGTGACACAGCCCTGCCCCATAGAACTCGCAATCGAAGAAAGGTCTCTGTCCAAACAAGCCCTAGAGAGCTGCACTTGTTTATGCTACGGCTGAGTTTGGCGTCTTGAACGGGAGCCTTCAGCTTGCAGAGCGAGTGCCCTCCTGTGGTTACTGGTGCAGCCATCCCAGTGGGCAGCACTGGAACCCAGCAAGGGGCTTTTCCAGACTGGCTGAATTGCTTTGTTCCTGCTGTGGATGGCTTTCTCCTGTCGAGATGGTGAGCTCAGAGGTGGGGACAGGCTTTCCATACCAGGGCTGGCTGGTGCCCCCCGGGACCTGGCACTGTTGTTTGTGTCTGTATGAATTTCAGTGCTGGAGAAAGGCACCCGGGTGACAGCCAGCAGCAGGAAGGTCTCTGTCATCGGAGCAGCAGGTGCCGTATCAGCGTGAGCCTCCATTTGCCAGTGTCTCTCACCCCTAGCATGTCTCATTAACATATGTGTAAACGTGGCTCTCAGCTGCATGATCGACAGGGCTGGGGCACTGGGTGAACTAGTTTGCATAACCCTGCACTCCCTCTGCTCACAAGCGTCACTGTGCTATCTGCACAGGCTGAGGAACCACACTGGTGTGTAACACACACACCCATACTGTGCTGGAGGAACACAGCCCCATCTGAGCAGCGTGTCCCTCCCAATGTCACTTGCTCACGCGCTGCCAGGCCCTTTATTTTTGGAAGTGGGGGAGGAGCTGGCAGAGAGAACCCAGACAGAGCCCAGAGCGCAGGAAGGAACCGGAGCTGCAGATGAGGGTATTGCACGTTCCTAGAGCTCTCAGTAATCTGCACAAACTGTCCATTCCCTGTATGCTGCCAGTTTAGCACTGGAGGAGTTTTGTGATGTGTGTAGGAAGGATAAAGGGACAGCTCTTGAAAACTGCAGATGGATGGGGACTATTGATAACACGAGATGCAGGAGCATCTGTTCCACCTTGTTAGGAGCTGAACGCTAAGCCCTGTTGTGCCTGCTCAGTAGACAGCAGGAGGGGGCAGCAGCGGGTAGGGAATAAAGATTTACTCTCCTCTAATGGAAAAAGAACAGGAGTCCTTGTGGCACCTTAGAGACTGACACATTTATTTGGGCATAAACTTTCGTGGGCTAAAACCCACTTCATCAGATGCATGGAGTAGAAAATCCAGTAGGAAGATAGATAGATAGATATAGAGAAAATTAAAAAATGGGTGTTGCCATACCAACTCTAATGAGATTAATTGATTAAGGTGGACTATTAGCAGGAGAAAAAAAACTTTTGTAGTGATAATCCAGATGGTCCATTTCAAACAGTTGACAAGAAGGTGTGAGTAACAGTAGGGGGAAAATTAACCTGGGGAAATAGTTTTTAGTTTGTGTAATGACTCATCCACTCCCAGTCTTTATTCAAGCCTAATGTAATGATGTCCAGTTTGCAAATTATTTCTAGTTCTGCAGTTTCACGTTGGAGTCTGTTTTTGAAGTCTTTTGTTGAATAATTGTGACTTTTTGGTCTGTAATTGAGTGACCAGGGAGGTTGAAGTGTTCTCCGACTGGTTTTTGAATGTTAGAATTCTTGACTGATTTGTGTCCATTTATTCTTTTACGTAGAGACTGTCCGGTTTGGCCAATGTACATGGGTACGTGCCATAGGTAGGGCCATTCCGCCCCAGGCAGGGGAGCACCCCACTTACATGCTCCAGGCAGAAGAGGCAGCACAGAGATGTCTATGGGAGAAGTGGGTGTTCAGGGCTGGAGTGGAGAGGCCTGGGAATGAGGCAATAAGAGAAGAGCACATTTTATGGTAGTGCCTAAGGTCCAGCCATGAATGACACCACATTGTGCTCGGCTCTGCACCTGGAATCGATAGTCCTTGCCCTGAACCACTTACTTAAATCGAGAAGGGGGGAGGGGTAGAAGGGGGGAGGGTCTGTGCTGCATGGCTTCTGCAGCAGTCACCTCCTGCCCTGACATGCCACCCCCTGGTTTACGTATAAGCACTAGACAGACAGGTGCCTGCTTCTCTCCTTTGCTCCTGGACGTGCCGAGAGTCATGGGGGATTTCAATTCCTTCTGGCAGGTAAGTGCTTAGCCAGCATGGCCTGAAGTGCATGAGGCTACCTCGGACGGACCGGGCCCAGGGTGACCAGATGTCCCCATTTTATAGGGACAGTCCAGATATTTGGGGCTTTTTTTTATATAGGTTCCTATTACCCCCCACCCCGTCCCGATTGTTCACACGTGATGTCTGGTCAGTGTCACCCTACCCGGGCCTGGCGGCACACAGCGCGTGATGCCAATATTGTGCCCACTCCTTGTCTCTACTTCCTCACACAAACACCTGGGTCAGCAGCAGCGCCCTGTGGCGCCTCTTCCTGCCCCCTCCCCACAGAGCAGGGGCTCCCCCCGGAGGCAGATGGGGGGCTCCCAGGCCAGGGAGGGGCTCGCTGCAGCCGGCCCCGGAGCTCAGCAGAGTCGGGGGGCTCCTGCTGTGATGCGAAGTGAGATCCGCCCCTGGCTGCCTCTAGGGGGCGCGCGGGACTCAGCTGGGTCCCGCTGCAACTTATCTCACGCCGTTCACGCCTGAGGACGGAGCGTGACACAGGGGGCCGAACGGAGAGCAGCGCATGCGCGCAAGGCCACTGTGCCGTTCGGCCGCGGAGTCGCGCTCGTCGCCTGTCGCGCAGGCGCAGCAGAGAGGAGGGGCCGAGGCGGGCTCCATGTCGCGGCGGGCCCTGCGGAGGCTGCGGGGGGAGCAGCGGGGCCAGGAGCCCCTGGAGCCGGGGGGGCTGCGGCTGTGCCCCGAGGGGGCGGCGGAGGAGCCGGGCCGCGGCAGGAGGGGGCCGGAGCGGGGCGGGGTCAGCAACCTGTACGAGCTGGTGAGGAGCCGGGCCGGGCCGGCGGAAGTGCCGGGGTCCAGCAGCGCCCCTCG